CCAGCTTTGACTGCTCTGACCGGCAGTTCCACTCGGTGGCGGCAGCCTGGCAGGCCCGCCTGGAGAGCCCAGCTGACGTGAAGGAGCTCATCCCAGAGTTCTTCTACTTCCCCGACTTCCTGGAGAACCAGAACGGTAGAAGCTGGCAGGGGAGTGGAGAGCACAGGCTAGGGGTGGCCAGGGAGCAGGTGAAGATGGCACGAGACAGCTGACCCAGTCCTCTGTGCCAGGATTTGACCTGGGCTGCCTCCAGCTGACCAACGAGAAGGTGGGTGACGTGGTGCTGCCCCCATGGGCCAGCTCTCCTGAGGACTTCATCCAGCAGCACCGCCGGGCTCTGGTGAGGACATGAGCACAGACAGAGAGGCGGGCAGCCAGGGTTGAGGGTTGGGGTGGGGCTCGGCCACCCCTGGAGTGACTGCCCCCTCCCTACCCCCAGGAGTCGGAGTATGTGTCCTCCCACCTCCATGAGTGGATCGACCTCATCTTTGGCTATAAGCAGCGAGGGCCGGCCGCGGAGGAGGCCCTCAATGTCTTCTACTACTGCACCTATGAGGGTGAGCAGTGCCCTGGACTCCAGAGGGACCGGGGCACAGATGAGGAGGGGTGAACGCAGAGGGCATAGAGGGATCCCTGACTGCTCTGCCTGCCTGCCCAGGGGCTGTGGACCTGGATCACGTGGCAGATGAGCGGGAACGGAAGGCTCTGGAGGGCATCATCAGCAACTTTGGGCAGACTCCCTGTCAGCTGCTGAAGGTAAGGCCAGCTTTTGGAGGATAGAGGTCAGGGATGCCCATGTCACGGTGCTGACCGGCCACTTACCCACAGGAGCCACATCCAGCTCGGCTCTCAGCTGAGGAAGCAGCCCAGCGCCTTGCACGTCTGGACACTAACTCACCCAGCATCTTCCAGCACCTAGACCAGCTCAAGGCCTTCTTCGCCGAGGTGAGAAGAGGCCAGGCCTCAACTTCCTACTCGATGAAATCAGTTTAACTCCACTGTCCTTACCAACCTCTGGGGGCAGATGGAAAACATAAATCAAGGTCACTGATGTTAAGACATCTTGGAAAAAGAGGTAAACAGAGGAGTATGGGAGTGGGGGTGAGGTACCTTCTTCTGGGCAAGGTGTTGACTCACCTAACCATCTTTGAAAGCCTTAGGGAAACCAGAAGGGAGGGAATCTGGCCTTGGATAGTCTCCTTTATCTCTGCTTGCATCCCAGAATGCCCCCAGGTCTGACTTTTTTAAGCTTTCCTGTCTTCCTACCAGCAGGCTAGGGGGACATGGAGTGATGGGGCAGGAGGACCAGGGTTGAGGCCAAGCTTGAGATTCTGGAAGGATCTTCCTTGTCCATCTTGGCTTCTCACTCACTTTCTGAGATGCCCTTCTGAAGGCCCACTGGTCTTTTATGCCTGTTTCTCAGAGTGACCTCTGCTTCTATGACACCTAGCCTGTGACCCCTGGGGGCTGAGGGCAAAGGAAGGAGTGGTGCCCCAGGGAGCAGGGAGTATAGTGGGGGCCCCTGCTAGCCACTCAGGCACAGCCAGCCCTGCACTCTACTCTGCAGGTCATCAGTAATGGCGTGCCCTTGGTGCTGGCCCTGGTTCCCCACCGGCAGCCCCACTCCTTCATCACCCAGGGTTCCCCAGACCTGTTGGTAAGTGTAGTGAGCAGGGCCCCACCTTAGCTCCACCCCCTCTCTGACTCTACCGCAAACCCACCTGTGCCCCCTCTTGCCCACAGGTGACCGTGAGTGCCAATGGGCTGCTGGGTACCCATAACTGGTTGCCCTATGACCGTAACATAAGCAACTACTTCAGCTTCAGCAAAGACCCCATCATGGGCAATCCCAAGTAGGACAGAGGGCTGTGGGCAGGGGTGGGCTATAAATACCCTGCACCCTGAGTTGTCTCCCTACCCACTCAGAATGCAGGCCAGCTACAGGGTCTGGCCAAGGTCTCTGAGGGCCTGGGTCTCCTTTGTGGTCTGGCCTCACCTGTCATCCCCCTCACTGGGTCAGGATGCAGCGACTGCTGAGTGGCCCGTGGGTGCCAGGCAGTGGTGTGAGTGGGCAAGCCCTGGCAGTGGCCCCCGACGGAAAGCTGCTGTTCAGTGGTGGCCATTGGGATGGCAGCCTGCGAGTGACTGCACTACCCCGAGGCAAACTGTTGAACCAGTTCACCCGCCACCTTGGTATGAGCAGCCTTTGAGCTGGGGGTGGTGCAGGTGGGGCCAGGGTTCCAAGGCTGGCCAGGGAGGGTGTGACTACTCTGTTCTGCTCGTACCCTCTCTTCCCCACACAGATGTAGTGACCTGCCTTGCACTGGACACCTGTGGCATCTACCTCATCTCAGGCTCTCGGGACACCACATGCATGGTGTGGCAGCTCCTGCAGCAGGTATGCCGGGTGGACAGCCCCGTGGAGCCCTCAGAGTCCAGACCTGCAGCCCATCTGCCCCTCGGTGGGCCTCTAGTTCTGCCCTTCTCTCTTCCCCTTCCCTCTGCTACCATGAGCAAGTGTGGGGCTCCACGAGCCTCCAGCTCTCTGGTGTTGGACAAAGCCTTCACTTTCCTGAGCCTTAGCCTTTTTTTTTTATAATTTTATTTATTTATTTTTTTCCCCCAAAGCCCCAGTAGATAGTTGTATGTCATAGCTGCACATCCTTCTAGTTGCTGTATGTGGGACGCGGCCTCAGCATGGCTGGAGAAGTGGTGCGTCGGTGCCCGCCCAGGATCGAACCTGGGCCGCCAGCAGCGGAGCGCGGGCACTTAACCGCTAAGCCATGGGGCCGGCCCGAGCCTTAGCCTTTTTACTCAGGGGCTAGGGTAGTGGGATGCCCCAGTCCTGAGCTAGCCCTGGCTCCACACAGGGTGGTCTCTCCGTGGGGCTGGCATCAAAGCCTGTGCAGGTCTTATATGGGCATGAGGCTGCAGTGAGCTGTGTGGCCATCAGCACTGAACTTGACATGGCTGTGTCTGGATCCGAGGTGTGTATATGCCTGTACCCAGGGGAGGTCGAGTTTGCTGGGCACTGCCCCTGGAGCCCAGAGAGCCCTGCCCAGCACCCTAAGCTGCCTTCCTACAGGATGGAACTGTGATCATCCACACTGTACGCCGTGGCCAGTTTGTGGCAGCACTACAGCCCCCGGGGGCCACGTTGCCTGGACCTGTGTCCCACCTGGCGCTGGGGTCTGAGGGCCAGATTGTGGTACAGAGCTCAGCACGGGAGCGTCTGGGGGCTCAGGTATGGGAAAGGGGTGCCCAGCCGAGACAGGGATGGTTGGGATTCTGTCCTTGCTGACACCTTCTGCTTCTTCCAGGTCACCTACTCCTTGCACTTGTATTCGGTGAATGGGAGGTTGCGGGCTTCACTGCCCCTGGTAGAGCAGCCCACAGCCCTGGCAGTGACGGAGGACTTTGTTCTACTGGGCACTGCCCAGTGTGCCCTGCACATCCTCTACCTGAATAAGTGAGCCCCACTATTTATGGGTTCATGGCCTCTCAGGGTGGTGGTCATTGGCAGAGGATATTAAGAGGTATCCCCCATGGACCCCACATTCCCTTGTCTCTGGGCACATTCTTCAAGGCCTGTCACCTGTCACCCTATCCCTCAATGGGGAAATCTTTTTTTGTGTGTGAGGAAGACCAGCCTTGAGCTAACATCTGTTGCCAATCCTCCTCCTTTTTTTCCCTTTTTCTCCCCAAAGCCCCAGTAGATAGTTGTATGTCATAGTTGCACATCCTTCTAGTTGCTGTATGTGGGACGCTGCCTCAGCATGGCCCAACAAGTGGTGCGTAGATGTGCGCCTGGGATCTGAACCCAGTGGCTAGGAGCCGAGGGCGTGTACTTAACCGCTATGCCACAGGCTGGCCCTCAATGGGGAAATCTTGCCCTGGGCCTCCCTTAGCCACTTGTGGGAGGGCCCTTCATGTGTCAGGGTTTCAACTGAGCCATCCTTCAAATGAGGACAGAAAAGGTATAGGGGAGAATGAAGAGAGATTGGTCTGCTGAATGCAAAGCTCAGTCCATGTATCTCGCCTCCCTCCAGACTGCTCCCCGCTGCGCCTCCCCTGCCCATGAAGGTTCCCATCCGCAGCGTGGCTGTGACCAAGGAGCGCAGCCACGTGCTCGTGGGCCTGGAGGACGGCAAGCTTATCGTGGTGGGCGCAGGGCGGCCCTCTGAGGTGAGAATAAGGGCGGGGCGGGGCAGGGCGGGCCTCGAACCCGGCGGGGAGCGACGGTCCTGGCTGACCCCACCCCGTTCCTACTCCCACCAGGTGCGCAGCAGTCAGTTCGCGCGGAAGCTGTGGCGGTCCTCGCGGCGCATCTCCCAGGTGTCCTCTGGGGAGACCGAGTACAACCCTGGAGAGGCGCTCTGACAGCCTGCCCGCCCCCAGCCGGCCCCGCCCAGCAGGAGGCGGGGACCCGAGGAGGAGGCGACGCCGCGGCGGTCGGCTCGCACTCAGGGGGTGGGCGGGGCCCCACCCCCGCCCAGCTCAGGGATTGGTGGGCGGTGTCACTCCGGGAAGTCCCGCCCCTCGCCGGCAGAGGGGTCCCGGAGTCCTGGCACTGGCCTCGGCGGCCCCACAGCACTTTTTGCACAGTCTGGGGCGGGGTGGCTGGGTAGCCCCCAAGCACCCCGTCCCAGCCGAGCACAGGGGCCGGGCTGTGGCCTTAATCCCTAAGGCGGCCCCCGCTCTCCCTTTTTCGGCAATAAACCTGGCCTCGTTTTGTAGCTGCTCCGCCTCCGAGTCTGCATGCGCGCGGCGTCTCAGCCTGCCCCGGCCGCCGTCCCGGGCGCGCGTTCCCCTGGTCCGTGACCCACTCCCGGGCGACTCTTGCCCCCGCATGGCCCTAGCCGCGCCGCCCCTGTCTCTGGGGCCCCGCCCGCCGTTTCTCCCGGCTCGCGGTCTCTTCGCGGTCTCTCGTCCGCCGCATCGCTTCTGCGCACGTCGCTTCTGCGCACGTCACTCCCGCAGTCCAGCCCTCCGGGAGGCCAATGTCGGGTGGGCGCACGTGCGCGTTGCGGGGCAAGGCGGGGCGAGACCTCGGCGGTCGCACCCCTCCAGCCCCTCCCCCTCGGGCCCTGCCCCGCGGCGGCTCGGGCCGCTCCTCTGTCTGTCCCGCCGGGCTCCAGGACCGCCTGCCTCGCCCCGCCGAGTGTCCCGCCCGCTTCTCCCTCTGCTCCCTCATCCCGCCCAGCGCCGGCGCTCGCGTCTCCCGGGGGCCAGAACTGGGCCTCCCCAGGGACTCCGCGCAGTCTTCCCGCCAGCCCAAGGGCAGCCGTGCGGCTCAGAGGCCCCCGTCCCGCCAGGCTGAGCGGATCTTGGGACCCGCGGAGAGGCAGCCCCCGCAGGTCAGGAGCAGGTTGGGGACAGAGCCCCGGGTCTTCCTGGACAGAGGGAGCCGAGGGCTGCCTCTCTGTTCCCCACCTCGAGAGCTGCGATCTTGCCGGTGTTGCCGTCGTGGTGCAGGCATCTGTGTTGGGGTGTGTGTTGGTGTTGCATTGTGTGTGCATATTTTGTAGGCCTGGAGACGGGTGTGTGCTGGGGGCGGTAGAGGCTCGAGGTGGGTCGGGCAGACAAAAGGCCTGGCTGGCTGCGCGTGCTGATCAGAGGCTCAGGCTCATCTGTCAGCCAGGATCTGGGAAGGGCCCCTTTTGTGGTAAGTGACACAAATGTACACACCCCATACGTGGCAAGGGCCACTGCAGCCTTTGACTGAGACCCACTTGCTGACTGTGCAGTTTGCCATACACACGGGCCCATGGCCTTGCACAGGGAAGTGAGTTTGGAGTCCCTGGGGTGGACCAGGCTGGATATGGAGTGGTGGATGTTGGGGCATTGGAGGGCCTTCCCTTAGGTCTCTTCTCCATCCCTTTTCCAGGCAAGATCCCACCTCAGCCCAGACTGGTGCCTCTCTTCCCCAGGCCTTAGGAAATGGGTCCCAGCAGGATCAGCCCTGTAGATCCAGATAGGTTCTGGGACTAAGTGGTCCTCTCCTTCAGGTTTCTGTCCCCCAGGCCCTCTCCAAATTCCCAGATGTTAAAGAATGAGGGGGTCTCTGGGCTCATATGCCCTCTGCCCTTGCTAAACCCACCAAGGTACCCTCCCTTCCAGCCTCTGAGCAGGAAGTGAGGACTGGACACTGACCCTAGAGGCAGGAAGAGTAGGAGCATAGTCACTCCAGAGAGCCTTGCCTTGGAGGCTTAGGGTGTTGGGTTTCTGGGCTTATGCTGAGAAGTCTGGGGGAGCCACCCACCAGCAAATGAGTCTGTGGCCTGGCTCTGGCTGAGGTGGGGGTGGTAGTCTCCCTGGTCCTCCCAGGCCATCCCTGAACTCAGACCAGAGGTTTGCCAAGGTCTTTGAGATGGTGGTTTCCAGCAGGTGGTTTCCTGCTGTACACAGAGGCCCCCACAGGGACCAACATGAATCAATGTGCTCTCTCAGTCCAGACTTGGTAGGGGAGACAGGACACACAATTTAGTGCCATAGAAGACAGACCGAGGAGGTGCAACAGGAGCCAGAAAAGGGAGAGACTGAGATCAAGGAAGCTCTCCAGAGTAGGAGATTCCTGCCAGTTTGTCTGATGGAGAGGGTAGAACAGCAAGAGCAGACGTCTGGAAGCCTGGGAGAAGGGTACAGGTGGGAGGGGCTAGGTGTCCAAGAGTGGAGAGCAAAGGGGAGGCTGTGGGAGATGAGGGCAGGAAAACGGGCCAGTCAGATCTTTTTTTTTTTTTTTTTGTGAGGAAGATCGGCCCTGAGCTAACATCTGCCAATCCTCCTCTTTTTTGCTGAGGAAGACTGTCCCTGGGCTAACAGCCATGCCCATCTTCCTCCACTTTATATGGGACGCCGCCACAGCATGGCTTGCCAAGCGGTGCATCGCTGCGTGCCCAGGATCCGAACCGGCAAACCCCGGGCCGCTGCAGCGGAGCGCACGCACTTAACCGCTTAGCGCCACCGGGCCGGCCCCCCAGGCCAGTCAGATCTTGATGCCATGATGTGAGCTTTTCACTCTACGTAGTAGGGACTATCATTTCAAACCTTTTTGGCAGCAAAGTCTAAGTGAGGCTGCCTAAGGATCCTAGCCTTGTTTCCTTGCCCCTGAGCCTGTCTGTCATTTCCTCCACAGATAAGACCCAGAGGGGGCAGGACAGGGACAGGGAAGGGGTGTGGGTAGGGGTAGGGGAGCCCTGGCCCCCAATACCTCCTCTCCATTCCCCCCCGAGCCTCCAGGAGCCTCGGGCAGCAGCATCCCTGTCTACTGTGCCCTCCTGGCCACTGTGGTCCTCGGTCTGCTCACCTACGTGGCCTTCAAGTGGTAGGTGGTCTGGGCACTGCTCTTTGGCACCCCCCTCCCCATCTGGACTCCCAGCCAGCTCCCTCTCTGTCTCGATGAAGGTTGGAGCAGGTTGGCAGGTCCCCTCTGATCCCCACAGCTGGTGCTCACCTAAACAAAGACAGCAGCTGGCCAAAGCTCGGACTGGAGAGCTGGGGGCTCTCAACAGGGACCAGATACATGGGGATAGCAGTGTCTTCCTTGACTCTCTTAGCAGTCTGCCCTGTGCCCCCAGCCAGGGTAAGCCCCTTTCCCCAATCTACAGTACTTTACACCTAGCTCTGTCGTACCACCCAACCCATCTCACTCTCATTACCTCTCATGTCTCCCACCCCAGGGCCACATCCTGAGCTTGGCTGCCGGCTTTACATTCATCTCCCTCGGCAGCAGCAGGAAGAGGTGGAGCGGCTCCTGGAGGTGTCAGACGAAACTGACAAGGGCTGGCAAGGCCTGGCAGACCGCCTGGGCTACCAGGCTGAGGCTGTGAAGACCATGGCTCAGGGCCAGGCACCAGTGCCACCCTCAGGGTGCTCGAGGTCGCCCTGGCTGCCATGGGCTGTGAAGATGTGGTTCGGGTCCTGGACCCCCTGGCTGAGGGCTGCTCTGTGGTGTGAGTGATGCCTCCACAGCCTGGCTTCCCAGGGAACATGCTCTGGTGTTCCCCACCACCCCTATCTCATATGCCTTTCCTTCCACGGGCTTACTGGTATTGGTGGCCTCAGCCTGCTCTGTTTTGGGGGGATACAAGATCCAGCCACCACTCACCTCCCCTCGCCCTACCTTCCTCTAGGCCAGGGACCAGGATATGGGGGGAGTTGGCAGCGATGAATGGTCCTGCCCTCCTGATCCCCACTCTACCTCCCCTTACTAAGCCTCAACTGTTTTTTCTTTTATATCCCATATTAAAGGCAACTTTGGACTATTGTGCTGGCTCTTTCTGGTTCCTTGGGCCTGTGAGACAGTTTGATGGCTATGAGGCAGAGGCACAGAAAAAGGATGGGGTCCCTGGGATGTGAGCTGGCAGGCAGTGTGCTCCCGTAGAAGAGGAATGAGTTCTGGAGGCACAGAGTGGAGTTCACATCCTGCATCTGCCATTCACTGGCTATATCATGTTAAGAAGCTATTTAACCTTTCTGAACTTTAGCTTCCTTAGCTGGAGAACAAGAAATAGAATGGCACATTCAGTGGGTCCCCCCATTTCCTAAGACTCCCAAGTTGGCACTGAGGGCCATGGGTTTGAGACCATTTTCCTGACTTGTGCTGTGAGCAGGAGCAAGGGGAGGCTGGAGGCCTGCCCCTCTAGGCAGGAGGCAAGAGGCAGACTGGTCCTGGGAAGCTAGTTACCAAGGGTGTCAGGTCTCTAGATGAGAAAAAGGAAGAAAGCGTTCCCCTTACAAGACTCACTCCAGACTCAGGAGACAGAGGTCCAAACATGCTTCCACAGCCGCTATGTGATTTCCACACAAGCCCAGGGCAGGCAAGTCATCCCACCCACCTGAGGGGCTGTTGAGGACAGGGCAGCTGCAGCCAAACCACCCGTACCCCATGTATATGCCCACCCTGAAGGGAGGAGCAGGCAGGTTGGTAACTGTGCCTTTGGAGAGCATTGCTACAGAGGAGAGACCTTGCCTAGGAAGGAACAATGGCTACCATGCTGGCATCCACCAGGATCAGAGCGCTTAAGCAGCACAGCCACCCAAACTCAGGAGACATGGGATTCAGTCGTGGTCCAGAGGGGCCCAGGGTAGATCCTGTCCCCTTCTGACAGGTGTGACAGAGATTGGCTGCTCTGTGAGTACCAAACTCATAAGGCTGCTGCTACGGCTATTCCTCAGAAACAGTTTACCAGGGCTGCTTAATCCTGTAAATCTTTTCCTTAAGGAAAGGCAAGTTTAAAGCTACCTTCATCCTGAGTTGACCCTTGGGCAATAACCCAGGAGAGAAAGGAGGAAAGGCTCAGCTTTCAGTCAGCTAAAATCAGATCAGGGCACTGGAGAACTCACACCTACTTCAGCAGGGAGTCAGCCACAGGGCTATCCAGGATTGGATCGACAATGAATGTGAAATCCTGCATTGAGTGGTATGAACACATTCTGGATTAGCTGGCACCCTTTATCACCACTGAGGGGATCTGAGCCTGAAAGTGTCAAAGGGTGCATGGAAGGGGAAAAGATTTTGAAAAAACTCAACAGGGTGATAAAATAACTGAGAATTCCTCTTCAAAAGTGTCCTATCTGAAACTTGACAGTTCCCTAGTCACCACCCTTTAATGGAATGCTGTCCAAATTTCCTTGGAAAATTTGAAACCCGGAGCCTCAGGTCAAAACCATGAGTTTGACTTGGTTACAAGCAGCAGTGCATATGACCATACACCTGCATGGCAAACCCACCCAAAAGAGAAACACTCCCTATTAATGAATTCAAGCACATTAATTGAAACGTTCTCTATAATAAACAACTCTAAAATATTAACAGGGTCAAATTAGGGTCCATCCACCTGATATAATAATGTGCTTTAAATAGTTTTGAAGACTGCAGTATCATGGGAAAATATTTTGGCTACATTGTTAAATAGCAGATCTAATGATTATGACCTTAAAATAGGTGTTTTTCTCCTAACAGTTTCTTTAATACGAGGATATGACATGAGTTACTGAGCCTCCCTGAGCCTTAGTTTCCTCCTCCGAACAGAGCCAATTCCTGTGCCTCAGGGTTATGAGGATCAAATGAGCACAACCTGAGCTCTAAGTGCTCAGCATAACACCCAGCAGGCTGAGTGCTCTAACTGCTGTCCACCCTGCTGGAGATTTAGCAGGCCACAGCCTCTTCCCCAAGGGCACTGCTGCAGTGAGCAAAATAACCGTGGTGAGGAAGAGATGGACCAGTCTCTTTGCAAAGACGGGCTGCGGGCTGGCCTGAAGGCTCTGGCCCTCCTCATTGCCCAGACAACTGGTCCATCAAGGGGGCGGTCTCCACAGAGCCCTGCATTCTCCAGGAGATGTCCCATCTCATCACAACTTGTGTACTGTACCCCTTTATAGGGATCCTCCTCTGTTCTCCTTCTAGTGTCTAAGCCCAGTATCAGGGGACACAATGGGAGGACAGGGAACCCAAATATCAAATAAGCATTCTAGTGGGCTCAGGGAACTCAAATCTCTGGAAGGAAGAGGTTCAATGCCTCTCCCCAGCCAGGAGGTATAAAGGGGAAGATCACAGGCCTTTCTCCTGACTGACCTATTAACCAAAGTAAAGAAGCCCAGCGCCAACGAGGCCTCAGGTCCACTTCCTTTGCTCTGGAATGCACATGCAAGCTGACTCCACCCCTGAGCACAGCCACAAGATCCCAAGCCCACAAGCATCAGTCAACTGGCAAACGCCTACCTCAGTCACAGTGGGACCGGTGGCAAACAAGGCTTGTGATCAATCCCAATCTCAAGGATTAGTTTGGACTTCACACACCTATGGCCACTGTCTCTCCTTTCTCACTCCAGTGACATCGCTATACACAAACATGCTTGACTAGCTTTTAGGGAACACACATGCCAAGTTCTTTAATTGATTTTATTTTTTACATAAAAAGTTCAGTAAAAATTGGATAAAGTAAAGTGATTTTAAGCAGTAAATCAATCTTATCAACATAGCACAAGGCTGGCCAAAACCACAAGGCAGCCTGCTTTGGAATATTTACATGATAACAAATTAAACCTTGCAGGAGAACTTAAACCGTCCTTACAAAGTCTTCCTGTGATCCTAGCACGTAGAGGCTAAAAGCAAAACAAAAAACAAACAAAAACCAGGAAAAAACAAATTATTTTCAATATATTCACATATACATTAAAATATAATACAAATCGTCAGGGTAAGGGGTCAAGGGTGGGGGTGCGCATGGGTCTGTGCGCTGACAGCACCGCCAAGGAGGAGACCCAGGTTTGAGAGTGGGGTCAGACCTCGCCAGAGTCTTAGAGGAAAGGGTCTTCCCTAAGCCCTTGCCTCTGATGGCCTCTAACCACACCCCAACAGCTCAAGACCAGGGATCACTTGTGGATAGAGCTCATTTTTGTGGCTTTCAGTTGAAGTCTGCAGGTTTGAATTCCCCAGGGTGATGTGTCATCAGTAGCACAGCCCTGACAGTGGGTGGGGCAGAGAGGGCCCACAGGATTTCTTCTCCCCAGAGTCTGTCCTACCTGCTCACCCGTCCTCCCACCCTGGCCTCATAAGTCACTCTAATTCAGTGTCCTCTTTGGGTTTGTAAACAGCCCCAAACTTCTGCATGTACTTCTTAATGTACTCCTTGGTTTTGTGTTTCACGTTCTCATTGCACTCCAGGTCCTCAGGGTTCTTACAGTACTTCAGCTCCTTATTCATAACACCGTGAGTCAGCTGTCCAGGACATAGGAAGAGAGACCACAGCCACGAATCAGAGTGGAAATGATTTGAGGGGTGAAGGCCAGCCTGCTGCCTCAGGGCCCTTCTCACCAAGACTGGGAGTTGAATAAGGGGATAGGTTGGGGCAGGCTGGTGTTGGGATCACCAGAAAGGGCAGCTCAGCTCTGGAAGTTTCTTAGAGAACCAACACCCTCAAGTAGGGTGGCCTCCCTTCCCAAACCTTCCCTCCCCGTTCTTGGGTCCCCAGCCCAAGCATCTAGCAAGGAAAACCCACTTTGTATGAAGAAAGGGGCCCTCTTAGAAGGTACACAGTTTTCCCAGAACATTCTCAGACCACAAACAGTGGGGAATACCTTGCGAGCTAGGTGTTTAAAGTCTTCAGTTGTGGTAATTCTTCCCACTTTGCAGTCAGGTTTCCGGTAAGGGTTCAAGCACTGGACGATGAACTGGGACATCTGCAGGGAGGGGAAAGAGAACACACTGCTCAACAGTCCAGAGAGGGCAAGAAGCTGTACTGATGAAATAACTAGAAAAGAAAATAACTAGAAAAGTAGAGGGAGCCAACCCCTCCCTTTTCCTCACTTAGGTTGGTTGGTTTGGACAGAAGAACGCTAGTATGCCAGTGGGATATAAATTGAGAAAAGGATCCTGGGTCAGCCCTTAGAAGGAACATGGATGGACTGAGCAAGCCTGACAGAGCAATAGATGGAGGGACCCAGCAGCAGAACTCCACTGCTGAATCTCATGGCAGCCCCAGGTTTCAGCTTACAAATCTCATGTCCTTGACATAAAGAGACTGTAACTAAGTTCTCTGGCTCCTGGAGGCAGGGCACAGAGGATGTTCCAGTGCTACTAGGAGGCTCAGCAACCCCATGAAATGCAGGCATTTTGTTCTAGAAATTGCGTTCTGTGTTATACTTCATTTGATTCCTACAACAGCAATGTGAAGCAGATGGACGCATGGTATGACACCTGGTGGGAGAAGATCCAAGGTAGGACCCTTTTCAATACATAACTTTCAATGTCCTCCTGAGCTGTCTCTGTAATGTCAGTCCTACCCAGTCACTATCAAAAAGAGACCCAGGCACAGGACCTGTGGAAGTATTTGTGGCGCTAAGATCCTAGGGGACAAAGGCAGGAAGAAGGTCAGTGATAGCCACTTCGTCAGAAAGTATCCTGAACAGGGTCTACCCATCCCTCACTGAAACTCAGTGAGCCTTCAGACATT